TTTGCAGACACGCGAAATACTGTAAGAGTGTAAACTCCGCTCGAGCGGCCATTTCCCCACTCGAGCGGGAAGAACAAAACTAGAAAATTACAATCTGATTACAAACTTTTTTTCCATGGATTTTGACAACAAGGGTCCTAAAAAGAGAAACAAGCAGAAACTCTTTTGAAAAACAGTAACTCCCAACCTGTTTAAAACACAACCAATAACTAATCCCAATTAACAACAAGACATCAAGAAGTCTAAACAATAATAATGAGTACCAGATTTCAAATCAAAGAATATAAAAGGGTCGGGCCTTAACTCGAGTCATTATAGTATGGAAATTCACATATATAATTTTCTATATATATATATTTCATATTATATATTTTTATATTATTTAATTTTCTAATCCATTCTCTTACTCGTTTTTCGTCATTCTAATTTCTTTCTACAAACTCTTGCTTGATATATTTTACAAATGTATGTAACATACCCTCAAGAGTTAGTTTAGCTGCTAATAACTCTTTATCACTTGCTTTCAGGTTGTTGTACCAACTTGCTACTATTCTTGTGAAGTTGTGTTCAATATAATTTAAAAAGCTTTGTATGCTCCAACTGTTACTGTGAATATTTAAAACATGGTGCATGTCTCTTTTCCATTGTTTTAATACTTCATTAACATTGTCCACAATCAATATCTAATAAGTAATTGGTGTTACTAATTGGTTTTGATGGTACTTCTCTTAAGAATATTTCTTGTCTGGGCATAAAATTTGCATAACTAGGTGTTCCTCCCCTAGAATATGATCCTTTATTTAAATAGTTGTAATGCCCAATTAATCATAATTTGTAATATCATCCTCCATTTGTTGTCTAGTAAAATTTCTAAAGTCTAGGTGGTTCAGATTTGTTTTGTAGATGAATTGACTTCCTTTGGTTTGACGATGACCATTTCTATGTCATCATTATTTGTTTTTTCAAATTTTTCTAAAATGTTATTTTCTTTTTCAGTGCCACTATTTTCCATTAGTTATTTTAATTCTTGAAGAGAGATGTGTTCCATTTCCCCTAGACTGATTAATCCCAATTGTTTATAAAGATCTTTTTCAGTTTTGATTTTACTATTATTTATTTCTTCTAAGATATAATTATCCATTTTATCTAATTTATCGGCTATTTCTAATATTATTTTATATTTAACTTCATTATTTTTTTTTTCATTTTCAGCCATTACTTCTAATTCTTCTAAGCTATAATTACTTAGATATATTTTTTTCGTTTTTCAAGTGATATTAATTCAGAAGGTTCATTCATAGGGTTCCCCCTGAAAGCATCAGGGTAAATATTTTTGGTATTTTCTTGATGATTTTCTACAATAGCTACTTGCTTGCCTTTATCTAATAATAGATGTCTAGCTCCGTTTATAATTTCTTGTTGATAATCCTTAAAATTTTCGTTAAGTTTTTAATAATCTGATTATGGTATTATTTTGTTCTATTATTATTTTTAGTGCAGTACTGTTATTTAGATTATCTTATTCTACTTCTTCAGAATATCTAATGCTCATATATTAAGATTGGAAAGGTTGAAAAATCAGAGTCTAACACCAATTCTAAGTGCAATTCAATTTAATATTAATTCTTGTAAAAAATTTCGATCATACTCTAAACTTGCTTTTTCTAGGAATATTTCTCTCTTAAGTTTAGCAATTCTCTAACTATAATTTATTATAGATGGTCTCGAAACAATAATTAAATGAGACTGTAATCTTTTTAACTCACTTTCTAATTCAGAAATGGATGCTAGAGTATTATTAATTTGTGCTCTTAGTCCTTCAATTAAAAGCATGTAATTACCAATTATTAAGTTTTATAGCGATTCCGGTTTTGACCTGACCTTTATTGTATTCTGGACTCGGACCTTGAGGTTTAATATTGTTATTTATGTCTCTTTCTCTCTTTTCCCTTCCTATTTGAGTGTTGGAACATGTCGGGCACGTTTGAACAGGTTAGTTACTAGTTATTCAAATGGTAGTTGTCCTGAAATTTGCTTCTTCGCTCAAGCGAGGCTTCTTGCACTCGAGCGAGCTATGAGTGCTCTCAATATTTTGCCTAGACGCAGAATTTCTGGAAAGGTTGAGGTCTTCTCTCGAGCGAGGCTTCTTGCACCCGAGCAAGGGCGTGCGTCTGTAAAACTTCTAAAGGTGTGTATTTTGCGCTCAAGCGAGGTCACTTATTGTGTTTGGTCGCTCGAGCGACGACTCCTTTGCTCAAGCGAGCCTCACGTATATCAGTTCACAGCATAGCAGTTTTATATCACTTTTGATTTCCTTCTGCTAAAAACCCTAATTCGACACGCTCTCTCTCTCTCTCTCTCTCTTCAAGTACTCCAAGATCTAAGCATATCTCAACCCTAGTCCCTTTGTTAAAGAGTTGGAGCATCTCAAGGACTTCCCTTTGATCCAAGTCAAACCGAATTTGGGGCATTTTTGAAGTTCTTCTTCATCTCCTTTGAGCTTCTACACTTGAGGTAGGGATATTCTACGCTTTAATATGGTTTTTAACCCAGGTATTTGTTGTTATGTATAAATGGTGAGATTTGGGAGGATTTGGGTAAAGTTAAGGTTTGGATTCAAAATTGAAAGAGGGGTTTTCCATATTGGTTTTACAAAATGACTATGGGGCTTTGTATACGAGGTTCTCTAGTGTTAAAATGGTGGAATTTAGACTTTGGGTTGATATTTGAAAAAGGGGGAAATTTCCCTAATATGAGCAAAATAATTATTTTGTATAAATAATGAAATTGAGAAATTGAGAGGGTGTATGAATGAATGGTGCAGTTGGATTTGTTAAATCACTCATCTATCGAAATGTGATAAATTGTCTGTTATAAAGATTATATATCTATTTAGAAATATCTATTTTGGGCTATCGGTGGAGGATAGTTATGATTGTTGTAGAAATCGCATTGATTATGTGTTGTGAATAGTCATTGTATATGACAATGCCTTTAAATACATTGTATATGTATCATTGTTTGGGAGGAGATAGGGGATGGACACCATTTAAAATTAAGTCAGCTGGAGTGTCCAAGGTGAAAGTCCGGAAACCTTATATTTATGGGTGCTGATTCCCTTGGATGTGAATTCCGTAAAATGGCAGAAATTGAAGTGTTTGAATGACGGCTGTTGTTGAATTGTGAACCAATGAGGCGTAGCCTCATTTGGGGTTGTTTAGATAAAAAAGGACTATGCCTATAAATTGGTTTGAAATAAAACAATGGAAATGGATTGAGTTGTGAATATCATTACTGAGTAGTCATGGAAAGAATGTAAGTTGGTCATGAACATTGAACATTTATCTGACACTTATATCTTAGTTAAATTTTATATATTGTGTTAGTTTATCTCTACTGGGCTTTGGCTCACCTTACTTGGGAAACCATTTTCAGGTACAGGTAACACTACAAAATATTTGACTTTTTGCGATAGTAAAATGCCGTCGCAAATACTCAAAATGCTGTCTCAAAAGGTTTTTTGCGACGGCGGGTGACTTTTAGCGACGGCAAGTGGGGGGTCACAACAAAGGGGCTTGCAAAAGGGTTTTAGCGACGGCACGTTGCCGTCGCCTTTTTTTTGCGACGACAAAGTTGCCTTTTTGCAACGGCATTTTTCCTTCACCATTAATACGAAAAAATCTGAGATTTTTTGAGACGGCACTATGATTCCGTCGCTAAAGGTGTTATTTGCGACGGCAAAAAATGCCGTCGCTAAAAAATATTTAAGACAGCACGATGCGCCGTCGCTAAAAGATTATTTGCGACGACAATGTGATGCTGTCTAAAAAAAAAAAAAACTACAGTAAAATTATTAAAAATATGAAAATTACCTGTATTAAATGAAAAATAATTGAAAAAAAAATCAATAATTACATAATAATATAAAAAATCCAGTACAAAAATAACAATTCATCCATAATACAAGTATTCTTGCATTCATTTATTACAACACATTAGCAAAATTATTCCACTATATAATATTGCATAATACATACACAATGTTTAAATACATAATGTTGTTCACAATTCAAAATAACGTAAATCAAAAACAAAAGTTTCCCCCTCATGATTCTTCCGTGGATAACAAAAACAAAAGTAAATCGCAATCTTCACACGCCTGTATTCCACAAGAAGCAAACTGCTACTCGGGAAATATCTGAAAACAAAAAATAAAAATAATTAATGACAATATAATTATGTGTTAATATTTTAATTACAAAAAAATATAAAAAATTAACTACTATATAATTACAAAGATAATATCTAAGGAAGTCCAAAATATCTTATCTTGCAAATTCCTTAACATAAATAAATAAAATAATTTAACTAATAAAAAACTTTAATATTCTTGAGCACACTTTGTTTGGTATAGCTTTTAATAAGTTAAAAATTAATAATTAGTAAACAGAAATTAAAAACATCCTTTCTATAACTTTCTAATAATAATTTTTTTCAAATCTTATTTAAACTAATTTCTTGGTAAAAGTTGCATGCAGTAGTTTTCACCCATATTTTCAAAATAAAAAGGTATAACAAACTCCAATAAGCTGCACCCAACAAGCCCTATCATGTGTCAATCTGTAGAAGATAGTTCCTAGGGTTTTCCATGTACGACAATAGTGTACCTATTAACCTAAGGAGACAAAAAAGACATTGCATGTTTAGCATCACTCGATACTAACTAGCTCTACTGTGCACCCAAAAAATCACTGAAATTGGAATAACAGAATAGTTACATAACAAGCCTATTACTATGTAGATCTATAATCAATAACTGTTTTTTTATTCATCCAAACATAAACAAAACCTCCAAATATTGACAAAATAGGGAAGGGGGGGGTAAAAGTTACATAAATGTATTAGAATTACAATTTATCAGATTTTTTTTTTTGGCAGATAAGTAAATATAGCCGAATAATGAATTACACCACTTCCGAAAATCAACATAAAAGGAAAAATTAAAGACACTTAATGATCTTTTTAGTGCGCATTTGGTATGTATTAAGAATGTTCAAAATATAATCACCATCCAATTTTCATTTAATTATGCCTGTAGGAAAAGAAAAATATGATTAGAACTTCACTCATATATCCCGCAAAGTAAAATTAATGAACAAGCTTTAAAAATATATCTTTGGACCTCAACGATCTTGGGTAGACCTCAACCCCTTGAAGTGAGGGTGACATGACATGATATTAGGTATGGTAGAAAATATATCTTTGGACCCTTGAGGTGAGGGTAACATGACACGATCTTGGGTATGGTTGAATAGGTACTTTCTCTCGGTGAGAGTGGTGAGAGGTCATCACGCCTAGCAACGTGTAGGCCAGGGATGGTTAGAGTTGCCCCATTTGTGCTTATTATAAAACTCCAGTTTCCCTCTCCTTAACACCTAGATTTTGAAGGGAAGTATAGACTTGACTTTTCAATTTGGTATCAAAGATTGGTTGGGCATGTGACTGGTTTGCCGTTTGTCTGACTATTGTATGTTGCAGTCCAAGAGGGTGTGTTGAAATGTGTCCCATATCGCTTAGAGTTGTCCCATCTATGCTAGTTATAAGGCTTCAATTTCCCTCTCCTTAATACTTGGATTTTAAGGAGAAGTATAGGTTAGGCTTTTCAATTGCCATCCCTGGTAATACATCTCTTATACCATGTTACATGGTCTTGGCTAGAACTCGACTCGAAAACCTAGCTTAAGGGTGAGGAGCACGCCCTCTCATTGCAACTTCAAATTTGTTTCGTTATAGCATTAGATGGAATTTTTACCTAGGCAGGAGTAGGTTGAGGAACATCAACTAAGCGCTCTATCGTTTGCAACTGATCATAAGGGGCAATCTGCAAAGAAACCAGATAATGAGAAGAGCACATAATTCAAGTCTTGCAAAGATTAGAATTTGGCATCTATAATCTATAGTCTATAATATATATATATATATATATATATAATTGCAAAATGTAGTGAGGTTATTACCACTACAAAGCTCAATCCTTTTTCTCATTTTTTTGATTTTTTTTATTTATTTTTTAATTATGTGCTGCAATCTGATTGGTCTATGAATCAGTTTATATGTTCTTAAAATAAAGTTTAAGCTCTAACTCCCAAACCGGGAACCCGATTGGAGTCCCGTCTTCTTCCACAAGTCTCTCGTGCCTAGGCAGTCGTGTGTGTCAAGTTTCATGCTAAACCGACGCCGTCTGGTGATTTTGGATGGTGTATGCCTAAGTTTCAGGAATGCATAATTAGTCTTTCCAAACGACAATGTTAGTGGTGTATGCCTATTCGATTACAGGGCTATCTTCTAACATGACCTAAAAAATGATAATAACTTAAGAAAATTATGAAAAATCATTAGTCAGACACAACAAATGTGTTGATTTTGAAAAGAGTGAAAAATTTCTAGTAACATAGGTCTCTGTGAAGCATATGCCAGGAATACAAGACAAAATGTATAGTGCTAACACAAACCTCACAAGCATTCCAGTTCATTCAGGTCCATCTAAAGCAAACGATAAAAATATTTACTACTTTAAATCACAAGTGCTCAAAGATCCAAATTAGAAAAGGGTTTAAACTGTCTCAAAAGAGCAAGATAAAAAGGACTTGAGAATTTACATATTTCAGCAAGTTTCCATGAAATTCTTATTTACATAAATTAGCTCGAATGCATTTAGATTGATCCAAATGAATTTTTTTTTTTCTATTTGGTAATCTTCCTTCCAGAGGCCACTATTCAATACTGATCTAATAAAGCAAGGCGTCATTTTTTTCTATAGCAGAATGCCTTAAATTTTGCTATCAAAAACCAATCATAAGGCAACTGACAAGTACCCTTTATAACCAGCATGAGCAAATTAAGAGACTACCACAAAAAAATTTCCCTGGCGTTCCACAAAATTAATGATGGCCTGATTTATCAACATATCAAAGAGAAGCAAAATTCTTCAATGCAAAGAGCACTAACTTACCATCCTCATCTATGTTATCCATCTCTTCTTTTGAATAAAAACATAACAGAATAAAGGCCCAACACAAACATATCAAAAGTGTAATTTGTACATGAGCTTGCTTTGAATTTCCAATTCTAAGAAACAAAATCCTATATCTGCTATGGTTAACCAACCTGTGCTGATCAAGCTTGCTTACTAGACCAAGTGATCACGTAACCGATTATTGCTGTGACAAGTCCCAACAATGCACCAGCAATAACCTGTAATATGAGGAAATTTAGAAATGATAATCAACAATACTAACCGGTAACATAACAGGAAAACAGAGAAAGGAAACAACAATCGCACATATACATATATATATATATGTGTGTCATGAATGTAATTTTTTTCCATCTGTTTTAATTATTTTTTCTGATTTAAAAGACATGGGCTACACATTTGAGGACAAGATGAAGGAAATTCATCCAGATGATTCTGCGATCTACAATGAATTGATGAAGAACAATGAATGCCATAGAATGGAAACGCGATTTGATTCAATTTCAGTTGCTGCAAGAACAACAATCTAAAAGTATGGCACTATGAGTAGGAGGGGTTAATGAGGGAGCTAATATGACATGATGACCTCTTGAGTAACTGGACTTATGTATGAAGTTAAATTTAAGTGGAGCATAATCTCACTTCTTTATAATAGTAATGGCCACTTTTTTTTCTTTCTTTCTTTCTAATCTTCCTAATTTTCAGAGAAAAGGATAATAAATAGTAATAATCAAACATCCAGTCAAGTCAAGACAATCAAATAATAAATGACGAATCAATTAAACAAGATGATAATTTAAAGCTTTCAACAAAACCTGTTGAGGCGTGTGCCCAAGAAGTTCACGTAGTGGTCTGCTCTCAGCCAGAGGATGTTCAACAGGAAGTTCATATACAATTTGATTCAAAACCTGAAGAACTCCATAAAATTAAATCTACACAAGATGTCTTGTAGTTAAATACTATTAGAAGTTTAGAACATGCACATGCATTATCAGCAAAGAAAGACATATCACTATCCACAAAATCAGCACATGTGAATGTGTTTCTGTGGTGGGAGCTGGAGGGAGAGAGGGAGAGCAGCAAACCTCTGCTTGGCGACCAGCATGTAATCTTACACCAAATGCATCATACATCGCCTGTCATAACATTGGTTACATAATATCAGCATGGGTAGATAACTTAACAGAAAGAACTATACAGAGATTTCTCAAAGAACTATTTAAACAAGATTAAGTGAAGGATCATACAACACATGCGAAGATTAATGCAGTTGCAAACAGTGATCCTCCAAATCCATCATAAAAACCAACAGCTGCAGCAAGAGCAGTGACAGTTGCAGAATGGGAAGATGGCATCCCACCAGATCCAATAAGGTCCTTGAGATCCCATCGTCTTTCCTTATACCTGCAAATCTATGAAATATTAAGACTTATAGGATGAACTAATTATAATTCAAACCAGACCATTCTAGATACAAGTAGAAGCATTCAAGATCAAAATAGCTGAAACTAAATCTACCAAACTAGAGAGAGAGAGAGAGAGAGAGAGATGAGCAAAGAGTAAAGAAAGAAAAACATAAGAGATGCTGAGGTGGCAGAAGAGGAGGCTGGCGCTGCTGCTGCTCTGACGCTGCTCCTCCTCCGACGACACTGCTCCTCCGCCGCTCGCCTTTGATCGAGAGAGAGAGAGGGGGGGGTAAGAAGAGATTAAGGATTTTTGGGTTTGAGATTGGGGATTTTGGGGATTTTTTGTTTGGGGGAGGGGGAATGGGAAAAAAGGGGCAGGAATAAAAAATAAAAAAATTAATTTTTTTTTGAGTCACAAATGAAATTTAAATAATAAAATAATGATGTTTAACTTCTTTTTTTTTTTTTTTTTTTACGGAAAAATTTTATTTTTTGTTAAAATATATATATTTTTGTAGTTAATGAATTTTTTTTTAAATTTTTTTTTTAGTTACTAAGATTGAAAATTTATTTGTTTCATTTTTATTTTAATGAAAAAAAATATTATTATTTTTTATTTGGTAGAAGTAGGGGTAATATTTTAATGAAAAATATTTTCCACTAAAATAAAAGTTTATTTTCTATAGTCAATGAATTTTTTTTTTCTGCGGCCTATTTTTCTTTTGTTGCTAAAAATCATGAACTAATTTTTTGTAGTAGAGGAAAAGGAGCGACAGTAGTGGTGAAGGTGGTGGATAAGAGATGATGGTGATGGTGATGGTGATGGTGATGGCGATGGCGATAGAGATTAGTGGTGAAGTCGTGGTAGTGGTAGTGTAAATGGAGTGGCAAGGGTGAAGGAGAGGTAATGGTAGTAGTAGTGGTAGTAGTGGTAGTGGTGGTAGTGGAGTGGTGAGGATGGTAATCGTAATGGTAGTCGTAAAGGTGAATTTGCGACAGTGGGAGTAGTGGTGGTTATGGAATGGCGTTTGCAGTAGTGGTGAAGGTGGTGGAGGAGATGGGTGGTGAGAGAGAGAAATGAGTGAGAGACAGATAGAGTAGAGAGAGAGAGAGAGTAATGAGCGAGAGAAAGACAAAGTGGTCGCTAAAAGTACATTTTCTTGTAGTGGATCGATAAATCGAGAGGGAGCTCAGTAAATAGAGAAGACGAGAGTGAGAGAGTGAGCAACGCAAACACAGTGGGAGAGAGAGAGAGAGAGAGAAAGAGATAGAAAGTGAGAGACAGAAAAGAGACATAGAGAGAAGAGAGATGGACGAGAGAGACAGAGAGAGATAGAGAGAAGAGAGATAAGTGAGAGAGAAATAAAGAGAAGAGAGATGAAAGAGAGAGACAGAGAGAAAGATAGAGAGAAGAGAGATGAGTGAGAGAGATAGAGAAAGATGAGAGAGATAGAGAGAAGAGAGACGAGCGAGAGAGATAAAGAGAAGAGAGATGAGCGAGAGAGATAGAAAGAGCAAAGAGATGAGAAAAGAGATGAGAGAAGAGATAGATGAGTGAGAAACACAGAAAGAGAGAGAGACATATAGACAGACAGACAGACAGACAGAGAAAAATGATGAGTGAGAGAGAGAAAGAGAAGAGAGAAAAGAAGATGAAAAAATGGATGAAAAGATATAGACAAAGAGAGAGAGCGAAAAGAGATAAATGAGAGAGAGACAGAGAGAGATGAGCGAGAGAGATAAAGAGAAGAGAGAGATAGAGAAGAGAGATGAGAGAGATAAAGAGAAGAAAGATGGACGAGAGACACAGAGAGAAAGAGAGAGAGAGAGAGAGAGAGAGAGAGAGAGAGAGACAGATAAGAGTGATGAGTGATGAGTGGGAGAGAGAAAGAGAAGAGAGACAGAGACATAGAGAGAAACAAAGAGACAGACAGACAAAGAAGAGTGATGAGTGAGAGAGAGAGAGATAAGAGAGACAGAGACACGTAGAGAAAGAGAGAGAGAGACAGACAGAGAAGAGTTATGAGTGAGAGAGAGAAAGAGAAGAGAGACAGAGAGATAGAAAGATGAAAAAATTAATGAAAAGAGAAATGTTCAAAAGAGTAAGACGACGTCGTTTTAATTTTTTTTTTGTACCAAAAAAATACCGTTGCATTTATTTAAACCATTTTATGACTATATATATATATATGAAGCCGTCTCAAAGTCACAATATATATATATATATTAACTTTTACTTTTTTTTTTTTTACAACGGTACCTATTACAGTCGCAAAAAACTCTTCTTTTTTTTTTTTTTTTTTGCAACTGTAGCTGGTACCGTCGCAAATACTCTAATTTTTTTTTGCGACAGCAATTTCTGCCGTCACAAATACTCTATTTTTTGTGATGGCAAGTTGTGCCGACTCAAAAAGTCACATTTTTTGGCGATGCCAAGTTGTGCCGTCTCAAAAAGTCACATTTTTTGAGACGGGAAATTGTGCCGTCTCCAAAAGTCACATTTTTTTGTGACGGCAAGTTGTGCCATCTCAAAAAGTCACATTTTTTGGCGACGGCAAGTTGTGCCGTCTCAAAATTCACATTTTTTGAGACGGCAAGTTGTGCCGTCTCCAAAAGTCACATTTTTTGCGATAGCAAGTTGTGCCGTCATAAAAAGTCATTTTTTGTGACAACAAATGTGCCGTCGCAAAAAGTTTCGTCTCATAAGCCCACTTTTCTTGTAGTGTAATATGTTTCCTCCAAGGACATAGTTTGGGAGGACTTAGGAGCTAAAGGTTCTATTTTGTCATTTTTGTGTGTAAATGTTTATTCAAGTCGAGGGCTTTAAATGTATAGAGCTTATGACTCTCTATTGTTGTAACTAAGTGATAATTTGGAAAGATGTAAGCCCGTAGGGCATTTATTTTGTTGTTATTAACTTGTATTACATGCTATAGATTCAGGATGAACGTTTATGAATGTATAATGCATGTAATACCTTTTGTAATACGAACTCTGATATGAGAAAGTGTGTCAATTATGTTATATACATTTCTCTTATGAGTAGGGTTATTTGTATTATTTTGATGGCGTTACAAGTTTATAATGTTTTCTTAATTTATATATGTAATTTTGGGGGTTAATTTATAATTTCCAAATGTTAATATGATTGGGTTTGATAAGGTGGTGTGAGGTGTGTGTTCCACCTAGTATTTGGGCTATTCAGTGTCATTGCTGAATTTGGTTGATCGGGATTTATCCATTATTATTTGATCGCAAAAATTATTTGGCGCCCAGGGATTGCCTGACTCATGTGATAAGCCAATCACTAAAATGTAGTCTTCGTTGTTCTTTAATCACTTAACATAAAATTATAAATATCGCGTCTTCTACTAATCACAAAAGTCAAAGAATACCACTTGAATATGCCCTTTATGAAAAAAATAACTTCTCATTTTGTGGACACAAATGTTCAACAGGAAGTAATACCATCATATGTTTTTTGGGTTATTTGTGAGATTTGTAGATGCAAATCTATTGGATTTTCAATTGGATGGTCAAATAAAAAATAGGGGTAAACTACCAATAGGTCCTAATAGTTAGACTTAATTTCCATCAAGTCTTATTGAAAATAAGTTCTAGTAAAATCATCACTTAAAATAAATTTTTGTGATATTTTTTGCATATGTCGTTAAAAATTGACAATTATTGACTTTTTTTTATTACGATTTTTATAAATTGTCACTAAAACTTACAATTAGTGACGTTTTTCTATGACACAATTTTCAAACTGTCATTGAAATATAAAAATTAGTGAAATTTTTTTTAAACTGTCGCTTAAACTTATAATTAATGACATTTTTTGTGACAAAATTTATAAACTGTCACTGAAACTTAATAATTAGTGACTTTTTTTAATAGTGATTGACAAAAAATGTTATTAATTATCATAAAACCTATTGGATAATAAATGCACTTATTACGATCTACACATCACTACAAGAAAAGTGGGCTTAAAAGACGGAACTTTTTGCGACGGCACATTTGCCGTCACAAAAAATGTGACTTTTTAAGACAGCACAGCTTGCCGTCGCAAAAAATGTGACCTTTTGAGACAACACAACTTGCCGTCGCCAAAAAATGTGACTTTTTGAGACGGCACAGCTTGTCGTCACAAAAAATGTGACTTTTTGAGATGGCACAGCTTGCTGTCGCAAAAAATGTGGCCTTTTGAGACGGCACAACTTGCCGTCGCAAAAACTAGAGTATTTACGACGGCATAAAATGTTGTCGCGAAAAAAAATAGAGTATTTGCGACGGCAGAAATTGCTGTCGCAAAAAAATAGAGTTTTTGTGACGGTACCAGCTGAGCTGGAGGAAAAAAAAAAAAAAAAAAAAAAAAAAAAAAAAGTTTTTTGTGACCGTAATAGGTACCGTTGCACACCAAAAAAAAAAGTAAATATATATATATATATTGTGGCTTTGAGATGGCTTCATATATATATATATAGTCACAAAATGGTTTAAATAAATGCAACAGTATTTTTCTGCTGTCACAAAAAAAAAAAAAAAAGACATCGTCTTACTCTTTTGAGCATTTCTCTTTTCATCCATTTTTTTCATCTTCCTATCTCTCTGTCTCAGTCTCTCTTCTCTCTCTCTCTCTCACTCATCACTCTTCTCTGTCTATCTCTCCCTCTCTCTCTCTTTCTCTCTGTGTCTCTATCTCTCTTCTTTTTCTCTTTCTCATTCATCACTCTTCTTTGTTTGTCTGTCTGTCTCTCTTGCTCTCTCTCTTTCTCTTTCTCTCTGTGTCTCTCGTCCATCTCTCTTCTGTCTATCTCTCTCATCTCTCTTTTCTCTTTGTTTCTCTTCTCTCTCTCTTCTCTTCATCTCTCTTGCTCTCTCTCTCGCTTATCTCTTTTTGCTCTTTTCTCTCTCTCTCTCTCTCTCTCTCTCTCTCTCTCTCTCTTTGTCTATATCTTTTCACTCATTTTTTCATCTTCCTCTCTCTCTTCTCTTTCTCTCTCTCACTCATCACTCTTCTCTCTCTGTCTATCTGTCTATCTATCTATCTCTCTTTCTCTCTCCGTGTCTCTCATTCATCTATCTCTTCTCCCATCTCTTTTTTCTCCCTGTCTCTTTTGCTCATCTCTCTTCTCTCTATCTCTTTCTGTCTCTCTCGCTCATCTCTTTTCTCTCTATCTCTCTCGTTCATTTCTCTTCTCTCTGTCTCTCTCGATCATCTTTCTTCTCTTTGTTTCTCTCGTTCATCTCTCTTCTCTCGCTGTCTCTTTTTCTGTCTCTCACTCTCTATCTCTTTATCTTTTTGTCTCTCTCTCTCTCCCCC